CCCAAAATAAGCCAATATTTACTGTTGTTTCTACGACAAAAATTAATCTGTCGATAGGTTTGGAATTATATCTTTGAAACGCCACTTTTTCTTTCAAATCGCTTCATTAGTTCTCGTGCAATAAGCGTTTTCGTAAAGCTCTAAAAACTACAACTACAACATTTGAGCATAGCCTCCATATCGAAACGTAAGATGTATTCTACGTATAGTTGCTTTTTTGGTATGAGGATACCATGTCTGCACTTATCTTTTTCTTAAAACTTCCACCAAAGGACGCAACAGTGAACATTTCCACATTTTCCTCGAAACCTTTTTTGACATTTTGGCAAACTCCGAATTGATTTTAGACCCATGGTTTCTTCGGAAATTTTGCTTGGAATAACACGTAGAATATGCCTAGGCTATATGCGCATAGCATAAAAAAAATTTACCCACCCTAGTATACGTTTGTACATTAGACTGATTCAAAAAACGATTTTCGAAATCTCTGTGCGATGTATCTTTGAAAGCGTTAAGAAAAAACTCCGGAAATCGGTGGTCGTTTAGGTGTTGATCAACGTGATTTTAAATTTTTACCAAATCGTGCACCCGAAATACATCTTCGTCAAAAATATCGTGTGCAAAGATGCTTGATACAATTGTTTGCAGCCAAGAGTGTAAGGTTTCAATTCCCTTCAGACGAAACAAAAAAAAAATATATGGGATTTTTTTTCTTAATTACGAAAAAGCATCTGTGAAGTGCACAACGAAACATATTAAAATGTGTGAACTCAAATTTACTACGAGTTGGCTTGGTGCTCTTTCATATGCGTAACTTTTTTTTTTAATTTTTTTCTTAATTCTAAAATTGTTTTCCCTCATTTTACATTTTATAAATACCAACGAAAAGTAGCCCCTTGCCCTCTTGCTGTTAATTTAAATTTAAGTTTTGGCACGACAAGTAAGGCTAACCAAAAAAATTGGGCGGCTAAGTGCCCCTATTCAACTCTTGGTGGTCTCGCCAACGTAATTGGAGTGCGCATAATTATCACTTTTCATTGCGCCGTCATAATTTTTCTTTGAACCTTTCATTTATTCATTTCGCGTACAGATTTCTTAACCGTCCTCCAAAATGAAAGCGAAACAGACAGATAAAACATGGAATTTTGATAGGGCGAACAACGGAGGCAGAGAGCAACATTAAAACCACTTACATAGCCACAACAGCTATAGCAATGACCCAAATACGCATCTTGGCAGCCGATGAAGGTGAAGTGTGGGTCAAAAAATATTTTTCCAAATACATAGAAAAAAGATGAATTTAAAGTGTGAAATGTTGATGCAGAGATGGCAAATGGATGGTGATAAGCACCTGTCTGCCAGATAGTAAAGAGCGAAGATACGCTGCAGAGTGGCAGCAATGAATTAAGATTAGTGGCAAATAAGCAAAGTAATTCATTGGCCAACTGAGTTAAATATGCTATCTACATACATACTATATATAAACTTATGTACAGCAAATACCTACACATTACAATACCTGCACAAATATGAAAAACAGGTTGGCGTGGACCCCATATTCTGCGGTGCACACTCCTCCCACAATAATCCTTTAAGCAGCTTGACTTCAAAAGCTAATTTCAGTGTCTGGGGCGGGCACTCGAATTGGGGTTGGCTGGTGGCGCGCTATTTTTATGGCATTGCCCTGTTAATGTTCGCATTATGCAAAATATTTTTCATGTTAATTAGCAAGGACGAGAACACCCAACACCTAGCCTAGCCCACACCATCAACACTAAAATGCTGCATTGACGAAACCGCGGATTTTTGCAATTATTTCCCATCCGACGCAGCTTCCTCTCAACTTTTACAAAAACCTCCGCATTTGCCTTTGCGCCCTCTTTCATTTTGTCTACATTTTATCTGCAATATCTACTTACTCGTGGGTAGCTGCGGTTTTGTATGTGGCAGCTGCCAACTTAGCGGCAAACATTTGTTTTTTTTTTGCTTTCTACGAATTTGACTTAAGCAAATAAATGAACTTGGAATACATTTTTGACGGGGGATTTTTTTTTGTTAACCCTCGGGGTGGTTTTTTAAAAAAAGTACTAGGCCCCTATTTTACGATTTTTTAAGGGAATGGACTCGGACTCCCTATAAAATTTCGGACTCATTTTACAGTCAAAAAAGTCTCAGAATTCTGAGATGTAATCCTCTTAATGAGCTGAAAAAATAGTCAGCACAGAGCATATATCCCTTCTTAGAAGGGTACGCCAATACGAGGCCTGAAATAAGACGCTTTTCTTAGCCTTAAAAACAAATATTCTCTATAATTCTGATTACTAACAAACAAAACAAAACAAACAAACAAACAAATCTTAAGAAATAGATAAAAATTATAATAATAACAATAAAAATAATAAAAGGAAATGTGTCCTGGCATTTCTTCGTCCAGTTAGCAAAAGCGACAGACGTTTGTTTCCGGCAGATTACATTTACTGAGGTTACAACGAAGCCGACAGTGTCTCGTGTAGAACCTTGCTAGATCTTTGAGGTCTTGTCTTCCTATATGAAGTATGTTCTTTGAAACTTTGGCTTGCTTCTGCACTGGCCATTCCATCCAATGTCTCTTAAACATTTTGTTCACCCTGTAGTCCGCCTTCTCATTGCCATCATGTTCCTCATGCCAGGCACCCATCCTAGTAAAACTATGTTTTTGGACCCATAAGCGTTTGGGACACTGAAGCAATAATGAACCTACTACCTTAGAGGTTATTATGTGAGATTTCAGCGATAGTAGAGCTTCTTTACTATCCCAAATAATGCAGATATATTTCGAGGCATTAACAGGTTCTATCCGCTTGGGGTAGCTACCCTTTGGTATATATTTTTATGAAGTTCTGCCCAATTACGCCAAACCCAGTTTTTCAATTTTTCAGCTTGGATCCATCTGTGTATCTACATGTGTATAAGACACACAAAACTTGTCTTTTATCTCTTAATTTAGTCGAGTCAAATCGTTCAAAATATTTAAAGATCGCCGACTATTCGATTCAAGCGTAGGAAATAAGAGAAAGAAATTATATATAAAAAAAAGTATTTTAAAATTGCAATATTGTTTCAATGTGTGGCGCTATTTGATACATATTTACTTTTACCATATGCTTTCATATTTACATACAAATCTTGTTTCCCATTAACGAGAACTTTGCATTGCTCTTTGCACAGTGTGAACATCATTAGTATTCCATCTCTTTAAGTTATTTACCTATATGTAAAGGCGAATGACCAGCAGATAGTGCTGACGGTCATCGCGATATGGCAGTACATTTAGCATACATTCAAAGGATAAGTATGTATATGTTTACATATGTACATATGTACATTAGACCAAGTCAAAAAAAAATTAGAAAATCCTGCGAACCGACCGGGAACAGACTCAAATCTTGGTATTTGGTATAGAAATGATCCTCCATGAATCTCGACTCCCTCCTAGAAAATTATATTGAACTCAAATGAGAAGAAATTTTCGTACGTGTTATTTCCATGAGAAATATAAGCGATCGATCTTAGAATTATTCTAGAGAACGGAAATTCATTAAGGATTGTTTCTATACCATGAGTGAGTGGGTGTCCGCTCGCATTGCAGGATTTTTTTTTTGACTTGGTCTAATGTATCTACATAAATCAATGCACCCCAGACAAATAAGCTTGTAAGCAGGAAAATTATTTTGCACATTTACAATTGCCGATCGTCGGTAAGCAAACACATGCACATGCTAACATACATGAATGCATACAAGTCATGTAGATATGCGAAGCATGCATTTTTAAGCAAAACAGTAATGCATGTAGTATGTCTACATACATAGCCTACACGGTTGGAAGTCCATTTGACCTAGCGCTAGTTAAGATGGCTTGTACATATTCATATACATATGTACACCGGCAGCTTTAGACAAATACGATTTTAAGGCATACAGTTTGTACAACGATGCTTGACTTAAATGCAGTAACGTGCAACATTGGCCCCTCTTAGCCTTTTCTCTTATCCCCTTCGTCGAACGTATCACCCTTGAATCACCTATGAGCATTCAAAAGGGTTATCGGCACTCTCTCTTAAGTACATATACTTTTTCATAGCATATACATGCATACATATATGTCGTATATACTACATAAATACTAAGTACATATGTACGTAAATGTTTGCTGTCATGGTTGCTATCCATCCATAGGGAAATTTGTTAAGTGCAATGGTGCAGAAAAGTGATTCGTTGCTATGTGAAACGATGAGACAATCTTGATGCCTCTTCAACAGCTCTTTTCGCTTTTATGCTCTTCACTCTGAACACAAGCTGATTACTTTTTCTAAACGGCGTACCATATACATATGTATGTATGTATTTAGTTGCATGGTGTTATTGTTGGTAATAAATTGTTTATTGACTCGTTGTATACTCACACATGTATGTAACGGGTGATTTTTTTGAGGTTAGGATTTTCATGCATTAGTNTATTAATCAGCTGATTGCGAATAAACTAAAAAATAATGCCACGGGAAAGTGAGAAAAATAAACTAATTGCTGAATTATGTGTAAATCAGGTTATCGACATGATTTTTGCAGATTCAAGTAAGTTATAGATATAAATCGTTCTATACTTTCTTGGCATTCGTATATTATTCTCCTCTAGGCGATGAGGAGGAGCAAGATGAAGCGGACGAACGCTTCATGATGAACATGTTAAGCCTTTTGTGCAACCGCAGAAGTATTCATTTGGGAATTCCAAAATCTGCTGTTTGGCACCGGCGTGTACTGAATAGTTTTGACGACAGGAGGTTTAATCAAATGGTTCGCGTACGACCCGAGGAGTTTGGGTACATACTAAACCTAATAAAAGACGCTGACGTATTTAAAACAGTCTCCCATACAAGTCAGCTTCCAATAGCATTGCAACTCCAAATTGTGTTGTATGGATTAGGCTCCTCGGGCGATGGGGTATCGATACGAAAAGTTGCGTCTCTTTTTGGCGTAGGCGATGGTGGCACAATTCAGAATGTGACATAACGAGTTTTTAAAGCGATATTATCTTTGAAAAGCAAGTTTTTGAATTGGCCAAGTGAATTCGAAAGACTGCAAATTGTGTCTGCCACGAGGAATGAGATGCCAGGTTGCATAGGCTATATCGACGGCTCAGAAATTAGACTGGCCGAAGCACCTGTTAAGAAACATGAGCTCTACTTCTCTCGGAAACGCCAGTATTGCATTAAAATGCAAGCTGTCTGCGACTAAAGTTGCGAATAAGGCAAGTCACAGTAGGCTACCCGGGCAGCGTTCACGACGCAAAAATGTTTTTGGCTGCCCACTTTCTAAACATCCCGAACGCTTCTTAGTTCCTTCTCAGTGGATCGCTGCCGATAGCGCTTATCCACTGAAACCGTTTATAATTACACCATTCCGACAAAATAGTACCGAGTATACAAGAGAGAGAGAGATCTATTCAACAAATACTTTTCCAAATATCGTGTGAGGATTGAGAATTGCTTTGGGTTGTTAAAGGAAAAATTTGGTAGTTTAAAAGAACTTAAATTCAGAATGCTTACCGATCAAAATAAAAAGCACTGCAATGAATGGATAATGGTGTGCTGCATCTTGCACAATATTTTAATAGAATATTCAGAAAAAGAAAGTAGCAGTGACATTCTATCATCTGAACTTAATATCCACCTCCAAGCAACACTACAGCTGCCTTATTGCACTTTATACAAAACCAAACAAACGATTAATTTTATATATTTGAGAACTCTGGTATAAACGTAAACTAATACAAATTATTTATGAAATGTAAATGAAATAAAAAGCCTGAATTCAAATTAATATACTGGTAAATAAAAAAAGTACTTGAAGTTGTACGTATAAGCAGTGTTATGCAAATCAAAAAAGCGAAATATTCATACAAATTTGTTTGTGCTTTTGAGATAGAAATAGTTAAGTCAAGCTCGGAACACTTTGACGACAGCAAGCGACAAGCAGCAAATGTCAAATTTTAAATACACACGTTCTTACGGACACAATTATTTTGACGACAGCACGACATCTTGGCTGCAGGACTGCAATTGTCAACGTCGCCAAATTAAATCTATTTCTAATTTTGCTGGCGACAATGAGTAGATGTAGTGCTGCAAAATTAAATTGTCGCAAAATTAATCACATTTTCTTGATAGTTCATGTTTTTCTTATTTAATTAAATAAAAATACACAATTTGTAAAATAAATATACCAAAATGTCAAACTTTAAAATCAGCTGTTTGCTATGTCGCTGAGGTCTTCAAAATGTTTAAGAAGCTGGCTTCAAGGCGACATTTGTCGACAAAATGATGTCGCTGTCGTTACGTCGTGAAGTTGCAGTCGTCAAAGTGTTCCGAGCTTTAAACAAAAGTGGATACCTGCGTACGCACACTGGTGTATGTATTTAGTTTAGTTAAAAATGGTAAGCAGAATTTTATGAACATTTTATTCCCTCTGCTTTTAAATGGCAGGCAAATCACTTCGAATTCATTTATACTTCAATCTAAGCTCCTCCATTGCCAACCGTTCTTTCATTTCCAATTCCTTAACTTTTAAATCAATTTCTTTTTCTTTCAGAGCCAATTCCCTCTCTTTAATATATACTTCTCTCTCCCTTAATGTACTTTCATTTTCTATTTTCTCCCTTTTCAACTTTAAGGTCTCCGAGTAAATTTCTCTTATATCCGACACAGCTGTCCGCGAATATATGCCTCTGCGACTTGGCGGCTCTGCACTTGGCGGCTCTGCACTTTCCACCACTCCATAGGTTGCGGACGTGGAGCCTTCTTCTATTTCAATTATCGTTGAATTAAAAATATCATTGCTCGAGGCAGAGTCCAAGCTCTCTTCAATTATTGCCGCTTCCACTATTCTGCCACCAAAAACTTCGTCTAGTTCATAGTAACAAGTGCACTTTTTTAGCAAAGTAGCTGAAACAAAATTGTTTGACTTGAAGTTAAAGCGAATGAAATTCATAGTGGACAAAAAATCTTACCTTTTAATGTCTCCCCTTCCATGCTGCCAGCGCCAGTCGAACCTTCCCATGCTTTGGCTTTATTATAGCTCAACCTCATATTTCTCACCTTCGCACGTATCAACTTCCACTCTACAGCGATGTTCGCCTCTTCCGCGAACCGTCTATAATATGATTGCGCTGTTGGTTTCTATAAAAGTTGTTAATATAAATTTAATATCGTACTACTATACTATACACCTACTTCAAAATTTCTGTTGCCCATCAAAAATTCTACTAGTGCCTTTTCTTCCGCCACTGTCCATTTCTTGGTCGGATTAAGTCGCACACGTTTTGCCTTTGGCTGGAACAAATGTATTTAGTAAATTTTGGCCACTTATGCTTTTGTATTCGATAACTTACCTGGATATTTTCTCCTTGCTGCATTTCTTTGTAAAATTAACAAATTTACGCAGCAGCAGAATGAAAATGGCAAAAGTAAAATGCGAAATGAAAAGGTAAACAAAAGACAGCTGATTAGATACGACAACCCAAAAACATACCGTGCAGAGTTGTATTTCATTAGTACACAATTCACGTAGCAAGCAACAACAAAATATTTTAAACCGTCATAAAATTTATGATATTATGACAATATGACTCGTTATGACACCTTGTGAATCACCTAACTGACTAATTTTTTTATGACTTTTATAAATAAAAGCCTTTAATAACGGTTATCTAAGACATATAATTTAAAAATCAAAAATACCTGTTATTTGCAGATAATTTAGATAAAAGTCAAAAATTAATTGTCAAAGAGCGATATTTTTAGTGAAAGTTGTAACGGTTACGGGTTCTGATCTGAACACAATGGTAAACATAATAATAAAGACAATGAAAGGCGTAAATATGTGTGCGCTTTCATTATTTGTGTTTTTTTGTGTAAACAATATAATTAACAAGTAAAGAAGCTGGCGGGGCGGAACTTTATGTGTATAAATCTACACCCAGCGCATATTTTCATAAACCACTCAATATCTACTTAGCGCATTTCTAAGAATTGACAACGTAAAGAAGACGAGTGTAGCTAAAGCGCGATACATAAAATTTTTGGAAATCTTAAATTCGATATAGCCATTACGAAAATATGAATATTTTAAAAAATGCTTCCAAAATTTTAAAACTCATTTCCTATTTGGAATTACAACCGTTTTTCGGTTTATACCGAGTCCAAATAATAAGTCATATATTTCCTCAAAATTGCATATAACTGTTCACCCGAAGCACCTCAAAGCCTGCTCATCTTTGATCGACATCGTCCCCGATTCTGCGATTTATAAAAGAATGTACCTGACGATAGATTTGTAGAGTGAGCCTTTCTTTCGCGCAAGTTTTATCCTTCGCATGATCTCCAGGCTGACATTATTGATGGTGGTGTTCATGTTGGATCCAATGTTGCCAGATACAAAGTTTAAACTGTCAGTTACAGTTTTTAGACAAGCTTATAATTGTTTAAATTACTTCCTAGTGGAAATTATAGTTTTTTCTAAATTTCCGATTTTTTGGGAGTCAGTTTTTTAGATAAAAATTGTTAAGATAAAATTTAAGGATGAAGGACCAGCGTTTCCTCATTTGAAACAAATGGTTTCAGATAAGCTTTCTATTCCCCACAGCAAATGTGGAAAGAATATTTTCCCAAATAAATTTTAATGAAATAAGAAATAAGCTAGAAATTGCAGCACTTTCTGGCATTTTAAGTATAAAATATTTCCTCTAAATATGTCTCAAAAGGTACTTAACCTACCTCAGGTCGAATCAAATGCTAAAACAAATTAACAAATCATTTTTCGAAAAAAATGAAATGAAAGAGATCTTTGATAGGCCAGGTTCTTTGGCTACTCTTTTGCTTGAAGTCATACAAATTTTAGAATAGCGCAATATTAGGTTGCTCAAACTGTACCTTGTCCTCTAGATGACCTTGAAGATTCAAGGGACCCCCCATTAATCGGATTAAGCGACAACAAAATAAAAAGTCTTATTTTTATTGAATAAATTGTTTGTCCCATTTGACCCTCAAATGACCTCGAACCTGACTTTATCGAGGTTAATGGATTGGGGTTTATTCAATGAATTTTTCCCTACCTCGAAGCTGGCGTGGTGGGGGCTAACAGACCTCGGATACGATTTCCGCGTATCGAATAACAAAGAGATAGGATACAAAAGATATTCTAAATCCAATTGTCCGTACACCTTTATGTACTAATTAGCTAACTAATAACAACATAATACCCTTGCGCACAACTTGTCACCGGTATAACAAATACTTACTGTAATTCGATTTAAGAGCTTCTGCGATATTTATTTATGCCCAATAATTATGAATTTCTTTGATTTAATTGCAATCTGCCGCATGAATAATTCACTGTATAGCATCTGTCACGCATTTCACCGTTGCCGTGGTCGTAAATAAACATGGAGAATATTGAATAACATACCGTTAAGGTAACACGAATTGGCACTGAAACAAAAATCACAATCAAAGCAGAAAATTTATGTCGCTTCAATTTTTTTTTTGTTGTGCAAATAAAGTGAAAATGTAAAGTAGGTATAATCAACAAATAATTTTAAATGCGCACTTCATCGGAATTCACCGTAAAATAAGTATTTATAACAATAATGCAATGCGAACAATTGAATTCAGCAAATTATGGTGCACAACTGCCGCGTAAATTAAATGAATTTATGAATCGTAAATTAAAGCCATTTAAGAGCTGTGGCAGTGAATTGGCAGTAAAAATTAAATGATTTTCTCCAACTATGAGCATTTGGGACAATTCATAGAGATAGCCGCGTGTTGACGTTTGATTGACGAATAGATATTTTTCCTCATGTGTATCTGTCTATGTATGTAGATAAAATCTGAACGTTTGTCAGTTAGCACGAAGTTATATAAGCAGGCATGAACTGAAAGCGTGCAGGTGCTCCCTAGTTAGTACGAATATAGAAAATTTTTCGACCACTAGAGAAGACAAATATTTCTCCGCTTCACTTTTATAATAAAACAGAGAGCAATTATCTTTTCCAACATATTTTCCTTTTTTGTGATCAACTCAGAGCCAGCTGACAAATTAGTGAGACTAGAGACTTGAGGCAGCTTACTGAATACCAAATAGTCTCAAAATCCATGTTCACTACCAAAAGTCACTATTAGTAACTAGAGACTGCTTACTGAATGCCAGGGTAAATCTGATATATATTTTGAAAAGTTCAGTAACATTAAAAATTAAAGCCAAATCACAGAAAATTTAGATTTTCTTGTTGAAGTGTGGGAAGCATTAAAGTTTTGCACTCCCGGCCATGAAAACTGCCGACACGATGATACTCGTATGTACAAGTGTGTGCATCTTCATTATACTAATTAAAATAATTTCAGGTGCAACAATTTGTTTTAACTCGAAAATAATTTTTTGATAGTAATTTTTCCTTTTTTAATTTGCTGCAGCAACCCATTTTGACTGCAGGCGATAATGATATATTTTAGTGTACTGTGGCTGCATATATCAGATCTACTTACATGCATATCTGTTTATACATACGTATATGTGTGCAAATGTTGCTATGTGTGCGTGTTTACATTCAAATGTAAGGGCTTAAATTAAGTATGTGTAAATGTGAGTAACAGCTAACAACATTTGCCAGAACCGTCGTTGACACAAACAAATTAGGTTCATTATTGCAGCGACATGTGTCAGATGAGTGTAAAGCATCAACAAGAACTGTAGCGCCGCCACAGGAAAATAACAACAGGAAAAAAAAGAACAACGAAAAGCAAAACGAAAGCACATAAACACGTACTCACGTATAAGGATATCTAAGTGTAAAAACACTACATATGAATGCGCATAGCAGAACTAAGTATTCGCTTAAGAACAAGAAACAGAAACAGAAGTAGAAGTAGAAACAGAAGTAGAAATAGAAATGGAAGGGAAATTACGGCATATCCTGCAGTGCATTTTATATGGTTGCAATTTCCTAGTGCGCTTACCAGAATGGTCTGGCTGCTTTCCATTTCTCTAGCTCACCTAACATTCCCATCATTTGCCCTCCACCAATCAGTCATACACAATGACGTCAAAGGCATCAACGGCATCAACGGCGTCAACAGCTTGTCGACAGCGCCAGAAATTTGTTGCAACAGTAGCACATTGCCACCATTTGTGGCGCCATAGTGTTGGTTGGCAGCTGGTAAACATTTTTATTAGTGCTGCAAATATTTTGTACATATATCTACTGCAACAAGCAAAACTACAAAAAATAAAATAAAAAAAACTATAATAACAAAAATAAAAGCAACATTCCAACTGCAAGGAGTCAGTAAAAGACGCCAGCGGCGGCGACTCTCAGCAACAGGAAGACGTAGTACAACAACTTGTTGGCAATATGGCCGAGACAAATTTGTGCTTATCAGCAGCTGCAAGTTGGCACGGTAAAGTTGAAGAATCCAGACGAAAGCAATGCAATATGTAGCAGAAAAGTGTGGAGTAAATGTGGTTTTAGTGGCAAAGCAGTAAAGTAGCTGGCGGACGACTTGCAGATGCAGATGTCAACGACAAGCTGTACTAGCAGTTGATAGTGTTGATTTTGAGATGAGGTGTCGTCGGCAGTTAGACGATTGCTGGAAAGAGTGCGAAATTACAACACCAACACCAACACCAATAACAAAAACCAAAACCATCAACAACAGCAACAAGTTCTATTTTGTATTTGGGTAATAAAAGCTGCAGCATTCGTAATGGCAGAAATGATATTTAAATTGACAACGATTTCTGTCTTTATGGCATGACAGCAGCGAAAGCGGTGTGAATGGGCACTACCTAAGTGAAAACGTACTGAGTGAAAATACAAATACATTTGTAAGTAGATATGTTTGTATTTATATTAGTCTACCTCACGCGCCATGCAAAGAAAAATTGTTTTTCCTGCCACAAGCGAATTAAAAATTTTGGTAAGTTTTTTTTTAAATAAGTGTATATGATTTCTCCAAATATTCTACCAAAACGTACAAAATGTCTAAATAGTTTTTTAAGAAATCTGATAACACATAGTAATATTTTTAATTGAACAATAAAATTTCTCAATTTACGCTCTTAAAAAAAATTTGTCTCCGATTTAAAGTACGGAATAATCCATACACGCCCTTCTAGCCTAATAATTTAAAAATTTAATAAAAAAATTTCACTGAAACAGCGCGACTCCACTGAAATAAAAGTTCGTAAACAAACTATACAAAAACCAGATTTTCTTGACCCGCTTCGCTGAATGTATGTAATTTCTGTGTGTTGCATTAGATGTAATTTATTTCAATAAAACTGAACATATGCTCAACCAAAATAAAGGGAATTTCCAAATTTTTCTTGTTTTTAACACTCTTAAAATTATTTTCAAACTTAAGCGTTCTTGAACCTCTTTTGTCTGGTACCCATATTGTGAAACCTATTCCATTTACCAAATTTCCTTGATTCAAGTTGAATTAAATAGGTGGCAGTCCTCCTAAATATAGTTTAGAAGAGAAGCCATTCCAAACCAATTTCGATCCATCCCATATTGTTATAATTAATTGAACTTATTAAATAATTTAATTCTTAAACATGT